CAGAGATGATAAAAACTCGGATCCTGAGGCTCCATGCACCCAAAGCCACTCATTCTTTCCAGGATTCAGTCAAAGGCTATTCTTCCCCCATCCAGGACCCCACAGCCTCCAGGCATCACGAGAGGACAGAAACAGCATCACATGGGTCACCAAGCATAGAGTATCATCAGCATAATAATGATATCTCAACTGATGATGACAGATGATTTCACCAGCGGTTTCATGTAGATGTTAAATAGGAGAGAATACCAAGCCTTGTGCAATGCTACAAGTGAGTCATCAGGGTTTAGAACTCTTGCTTCCTATCAACTTTCCTTGAGGGTCCAACCTCAAGGAAAGGACCTGAACTTGTTTAAAACTATGCCACCCAGTCCCAATTCATGAAGCCACCCAAAAAGAATACCATGATCAATAATCTAGAAGGCCATTAAAAAGTTAAAAAGAGCGAGAATGATTGCACTGGATTTTCTATTAGTTTGATATATGCAATTAAAAGAAACAGGTGAGTTTCAGCAGGTTCTGACCAGTTCTGGAGAACCGGTAGCAGAAATTTTGAGTAGTTCGGAGAACCGGTAGCAGAAATTTTGAGTAGTTCGGAGAACCGGTAAATATCACCTCTGGCTGGCCCCACCCCCATCTATTCTCTGCCTCCCGAGTCCCAGCTGATTGGGAGGAAATGGGGATTTTGCAGTAACCTTGCCCTGGAGTGGTGTGGGAATGAAGATTTTACAGTATCCTTCCCCTGCCATGCCCACCAAACCATGCTACACCCACCAAGCCACACCCACAGAACCGGTAGTAAAAAAATTTGAAACCCACCACTGAAAAGAAATGCATTGCTTTGTGCTTATAAAGTGGGTTTGAAAATGATTATTGAAATTAATTTTGGAAAGTATTTATGTTCAAGAGGGAAAGAAAAAAATTTGATCTTTATTTTCTCTTTCTTTTTATATATAATCCTTGAATAATTCCTAAAGTTTCTAAAATATTGTTGAAAGTGAATTTGAAAGTATGTATGTTAAAAGGAAATTTTAAAAGATGCATTAGAATTAATTGATTTTACTTATAAAGATGAAATTTCTTAAGAAATATTTACTGTAAGAGTCTTAAAATGAATATAAAAGTGTTTTTCATTTAAAGCTAAAGAATTTGAAAGGGTATAGTGATTTTTGTTAATATAGATGATAGTTTAGAACAAACATGTCAAACACAAGGCCCCCAGGCCAAATCCACCCGCAATGTGGTTATATCTGGCCCAAGGGGCTGCCCTGGAGCCAGTGAAGGACCGGCCCCCGGTGTCCCAGCCCAGCCCAGCCGCGCACTGATCTACAACTTGATGGCAGCCATCAAGGCCCAGAACATAGTTAGCCTTAGATCCGCAGGGCTGCCCTGGAGCCAGTGAAGGACTGCCTCCGCCCTGCCCCCTAGGTACATGCTGCCAGCAGTTTGGGGAGATGAGGAGCTTGTGGGGCACCGAATTGTCCCCACATCAAGTTAGCCATTGAGACTTGTTCCATCCCGACCCAACTATCCTGAGTCAGCCACACCCAATGAGCAGTGTTGAGCAGGCCACACCCACCCAGCCATGCCCACCTAGTCATGGCGACCTGGCTACTGGCCCTTTGAGAGCAACCATACTGCTAATGTGGCCCTCAATGAAATTGACTTTGAACCCCTGATTTAGAAAGTTTAGTAAATGTTAATAGAAATATATATCATTCCCCACAACAGGGGCAAATGGATTTGGTTAAGATAGCAGTGTAAAATGTTTTAAACAAATATATTTTATTTGGTCTTGTTTCTATTGAGATATTGCTTCTAGTTTTTATACATAAAAGGGGGGGGAATCAAAGTTAGAATTTAGTTAGAAGATTTAACAATTGTGCAGTTATAGAACTGGCTTGTAACAATTATAGATAATGTAAAACATTAAAGGTTGTTAATATATTAGTATTTTATTATATTGGAAGGAGTCAGAGGTCAACATCTCTTTTTCCTCTCTTTTCCCCCCTCATCCTGTACTTCCTCCCTTTTTAAATCTTTATTTTCCTTGTATTTTATGCTATAATAAACCTTAATAAAACTATAATTTAAGAGAGAGATAGGTAGCTGCACCAGGTAGCTGCAACCACATTCAGCTTTTGATACACACTTGTATTTTGCTGTTTATAATATCAATGTATAAATGTGTCTATATTAACATTTGATTAGTAATTAAAATATATATAAAAAGAGCACCCAGAGCATTTATAGAGATGAAGATAATTTATTAGGAAAAACAATATTGATATAGCTAACTGGAATGTATTTATATTTAGAGTTTTCAAAGTTCTTTATTGTTTCATTCTCCAATGAAAACAATTTCCTATACTTTTAGATATTTCTGTTCCAATGGCAAACATACTTCAATTTTCTATAACTTTGTAATAACAAATATAGCAAAATCAACAGAAACTGGATACATTTCTATTATCACGTCAATTTGTAATGAGAATAATAAACTGAAAAGCAGGATTATTGATGATTTTTTAAAAAATTTGATTTATATGCCACCCTTCTCCAGAGACTCAGGGCGGCTTACAATGCGTTAAGCAACAGCCTTCATACTTTTGTATATTTATACAAAGTCAGCTTATTGCCCCCACAAACTGGGCCTCATTTAACCTACCTTAGAAAGGATGGAAGGCTGAGTCAACCTTGAGCCTGGTAAGATTCGAACCTGCAGTAATTGCAGGCAGCTGTGTTAATAACAGGGTGCTTTAGACCACTGTACTACCAAGGCTCTTTTCTTGCTTTTATATCTTCAAATACTTTTTACCAGGGTATGATTAATTGGGTATTGTCGTGAAAGATGATAAAATGCATTAGTTTGCTTAAAACTACATTACTACAATTTTCAAATGTAATGTGCTCATTTTAAGATGTTTTCACTCAATGAGCCTGCCTCCATGCCTCATTATCCAAATTTTCTTGAACTGGCAGAAAAGTATATCACTTTATATCAGCCTCTATAGCCTCTGTTCTGTTGATGATGTGATTCCAGAGGTGTAAGGAGTATTAAGTAAAGCCACTGATTAAACCCTCTGGTTTTGCTGCCTCCACTTTTCTGATCATTATCAGCCAGTGGGAAATAATCTGTCAGCAATTATCCATACCACCCCAACCTATTTGCTAAAGTGGGCAGCTCCTCAGCTCAATGATCAGTTGTCCAGTAGAGTAATTGCAAGTGTGATTTTTGTGTGTGAGGGCTAAACTCATACTTGGTACAAGCACACTTAACAGCTGGTTGTCCAACCTTATGAACAGCTGCTGAGTTTAACAAACTGGGATAACGTTAGAGAGCTTCTCCTGCTTTATTAGACAGTCTCCATCACTTTATGGATCAGTTGAAAGCCTGCTGCAGTGCTGATTAATTTGATTGTGGAAGTTGCACAGTAAATCAGGTGAGGTTCTCCCCCTTTATCAGGCAAAGTTATTCTAGGTTATTGGAAGGAGAGCTAACTTCCTCCTTATCGTCTTGCTCCTCAACCACTGGTCAGCTGTGGAGAAGGCTGCAGAGAGCTACTGCTAGAGTAGCAGCTGGCAGTTGTACCCCATTCTCTTTCCTCGGAAAAAGAAGGCATGGAAGCAGAAGAGAATGAATCCCAGAGAAATGCTGATACCAACTGGAGTTGACAAGAGATGCCAGCTTGTTTCCACCAACAAAACAGTCAATGAAGCATAGGTGATGCCCCTGCATGGGTTGCTACCAGTGTAAGCAGAAAGCTTCAACATTAAAATGGAACAACTAAGAATGTCATAACTCTGTCATTCATGGGCTGAAGATAAGATGAAGGCAACATCATTGAGTCATACAAAATAAAAAGATTACTAATTTGTTTGCTCTTTATCATACTGTGTGCATGTCTGCAAAGCCCAATGCTAACATTCAACTAATTTCATTAAAAAAAAATCATTCAGAATAGAAAAGAATATTCACTGCTAAAGTGAAAAGAATTATAGAGGGACTTCCTGGGCATAAAAAAAGTGGCAGTATGGAAACCCCTATCCTCCACTCATTCACTCATTCACTCACTACATTCGTAAAGTATGTGGCAGTGCTACTAATATGCAAATAGTTTGTTGCGTAATGATGCATTATGAAGCAGCCTTTTTGCTTCACAATATTACAGTATTGCCTATCCATTCCATTACTAGATAACATAGTTTCTTTCAGCTTTAGCTTTACTGATGTCTAAATGAGCACTCCAAGCAGCACTAAATAACTTTAGGGATAAGTGCATTGTAGTTTAAAAGTGACTGAGTATCTTCATTGCTGGAATCTTTGGTCAATAATATTGCATCTTAATTAGATAAAGTTCACTCTCAGGCATACTTTTCAGCACTGATTGGCAGCTTCTATAACTTTCCTGGGTTTAAACAATGGAAGCAGGAGGTCAAGCAGCATGTCATCAATGCACTGATGAAACTTTATTTCATCTCTATGAATGTTCTCTTCTACAATTTCATGCAAATGTTAAAGAGCATGGGAGACAAGATGGATCATTGAAGAGTCCCATTCATAAGCTTTTTTTACTGCCTTGTAAATTATGTTATATATTTCTGAAATGCATCAATTCAGTTAAATTTAATTGTTGAAAAACAATTATAAATATAAAATACTATTACCTGATTGTGCTACTGGATGGAAGGCTACTATTTCAAAAATTAAGAAAGAAGACTACCTTGGTCAGAATATTTAAAATTAATCTTTTAATTCCTGTGCTACATTTCATGGACCAAGAACTAGACACACATTTAGAAGAAATGAATAAATCTTTGTGCATGTTGCATCCATCTTCTGCAGACAAAGATCTCCAATCACTCAGAAAAAAATATTTTAAATCAATTGGGCATTGAAAGGATGGCAAGTTATGAAATATGATAATAGGGAATCTCCTTAAGGACAAATTGATATGTACATTGTTAAGCCCTGTCCTTTTAATGCTGCTTTTACTTACCTACTGCTTTGTTCTTGCCATCTTGCACTTTGCTTCCACTGACCTTTTCCCAAGAAACAGGATCCTTGTGAATATACAATGTTTCTTCTGTCCTTGGGGTGATATTATCAGGAGAAACTTGGCCTAGGGTGCACAGTTAGACAGCAGTTAAACTGGACCGGCTGAAGCAGACAAGCTAAAACAGAACCCCAATCTCCATTCAAAAAGGACACAAGGGTTTGTGAAGATATTTGAAAGTCAATATTGTAAATTGTTAGTATATTAGGTTACCTCTTCTGAAAATTGTGTTTAAATTTATTTAGTGTGATTGTGTGAGCGAAAACATGCCTAGGCATCCATGATGGGGGCAGGTGGCAAGTAATAAAATTGGAGTGTGACATCATCACACAAGAGGCAAGACATAAGTAATTTCTTTTATGTTCATGACACTATCATACCACACATGTTGTCAGTTTGATACCATAATGTCTATGAGACAGAAAGAGATGGTTATAGTATTGTTTGACTTCACCCTGATAATGCAATTTCCTAATAGCCTAGGGAAGTGATGGCTAACCTTTTTGCCATCGCGTGCCAGGAGAGGGGGGGGCGGGAGAGGGTCGCGCGCGCACATGCCCACGCGCATGCGTGCGCAACCCCCTCCCCCCTCCTGGCACATGATGGCCTGGTAGGCCCGTTTTTCTTTCTTACCTGGTTCCAGATCCTCTCTTTGTATCTGGGAAGGGCAAAAACAGCCTTTCCCACTCCCTTGGAGGCCCTACGGAGGTTGAAAGGGCTCATTTCCCAACTCTCGGTGGGACAGGAAGTGACTTTTTTTGCTGTCCCCAGCCTCCAGAACCTCTCTAGGAGTCTCTAGGAGCCTGTCTAGGAGTCTCTGGAGGCTGGGGACAGGAAAAAACGTCACTTCCTGTCCCACCGGGAGTCGGGAAATGGGCCCTTTCAGCCTCCGTAGGGCCTCCAAGGGGGTGGGAAAGGCTGTTTTCGCCCTTCCCAGATACACAGAGGGGATCTGGAGCCAGGTAAGAAAAAAAAACGGGCCTTCCCCACCCCGCCCCCAGGCCCTCCAGAGGCAGGAAACAGCCTGTTTCCCTACTTCTAGTGGGCCCAGAAGGCCCGAAAATCAGCTGGCTGGTGCACACATGCGCCCCAGAGCTGAGCTGGCGTGCCCACTAATATGGCTCCGTGTGCCACCTGTGGCACGCGTGCCATAGGTTCGCCATTACGGGCCTAGGGGCAATCATATTCAAGTGCCATTATATAGAAATCACCTTCAGGCTTTCCTGATCAATGCAAAATTTGGGATTGAAGGATGGGAAGGAGATGCTGGAGATGGACCCATTCCTCTGCTTCCTGTCCTGGACTCACATTGTCGTTCCTGCATCAAGAAAACACCCGCAGAAGGCTACTATTTGCTGATGAAATACAGGTAAGTGCAACCAATCAAGATAGCAAATTCTGGCCTGTTACCTAAATAAAAACATTGTTTGAACAAATTCCCACATTTGTAAGTAAGAATAACAAAAAAAGGTTTCAGACCACAAATAAATCTTTTACCCATTTTTCTGTCATTCTTGCTGAGAATGATAAACAGAACATACTTGAGGCTTGGAGTGGCACATTCTTTTAACAATAATTTATTATTTCCATTACATTTAAACACCTTACTGTAGAGATGGATTTAGGAGCAAACTACATAGACTCAGGTGCTATATATACACCAACTCTTTAAAAAAATAAAAGTTGTTAATTTTCTTCCTAAAACTAGTGACATTTAATTAACACTACAAATATTGTGTTAAAGGTCATTTTAAATACTATTCACAAAGAAGTGTATAGTATTCAACAGCATGAATTATTTTAATCAGAACCATGAATAATGATTATCTTAAATTAATATGCTAAGAAAATTGAACAAGGGTGCCATTTGATGTGTGGCAGAGCCGCTGCCTTTTCATCCACATAAAAATAAACATTTGTTAGCTCTTTGTGCCTTCCCTTCTTACCCTGAGGTGAATGGGCTGTGTGAGAACTGATGCTCAAAAAGAAAAATCCAAAGAAACAGATGTGAAAACTGCAGGAGCTATTAATTAAATGATAGCTCCATCTCCTTTAATAAGCCTGTTTGCATTTAAAAGCATTCTGGAAAAAGTGATAATTACTTGATTGATGGTAATTTCTTTTCTAATGGAAGGCTAGGTTATGGTGCCCTGAAGACTATCAGTTAAGAAAGTAGTTGTCAGGCTGAACTGTAAGAATCATTTATGAAACAGTACTTATTATTTAATCAAGCTTTTCAAAACTGCCCCGTAATCATTCAAACTACCATTAATAAAATCAATGCATAAACATCACATAAAATTGGCAAATAGCCAAGAGGAAAATACCAGAGTAAAAAAAAAACACCTTTGTTTTTAAAAGAGGATTATACTAGAAGAATGAAATATTTTAGAAATATTATATTTCCCCTAAAAGAGAAATGGAAATCTTAAGGGAGACAGAAACTCAGCCCCAGCTCCCCGCCCCCAGCAGATATCTGGTGCCCATTAAGAAGGACTGGGCCAGCCTATCTACAAGACAAAAGACATTCAGTTCCAGGGTGATGGGATTGAGACATGACCCTCCAGAACTGTAAGAAGAAATATCCATCTGGGTTCAGCTCCAAGTGGAGAAAAGACATTGGAAACATGGAGACTGTTTGGAAAGATGGTTTAATGGTAGACAGGATCACATGGTTTGAGTTCCTGGAACAGAAAAGGGGGTGAGATGCTGAGCGTGCCTTGGTTTTATGCCCTCTCTGCTTTGAACTTCCTGGGGCCCAGGAAGAGTATTGGTTGCTGATTGGTTGCTGCCAGAGGTCATAGCTAGTCCTTTAGGTTGTCTGTGTGCCAAGTTTGGTTGAAACTTGGTGGGTGGTGCAATAAAGGGGAATTAAATGGCTCTGCCTGAAGGAGGTAGATCTTTGTTATGTAGAATAGACTGGCTCAGGCCTTAATGGCCCATTAACAAAAGCGGGGGGCTGAGTTTCTGCTTCTCTGAGTTTCTACTTCTCTTTTAGCAAAAATATACTGCCTTTTTAGTATATCCTAAAATATTTCATTTTTCTAGGAGAGGGGTGAGTGCTAACTTCCTACAGAACGTAATAGGATTATCTATCAACAGAGCTCAGCACATGGCACAATCACTGGGGGCATTGCATCACCCTCCAGGCTTCAACCAAACTTGATTCAGACAAACATGACCCCACATGGCCCCATGGGTAAGGTGACCAGATTCTAACATTGGTAAAGCGGGACACACACCATTTTGTGGGTGTGGCTTGGAGGTCATGTGACTGGGTGGGCGTGGCTAGCTGGTCATGTGACCGGGTGGCCATGGCTATGTGTATAGAAAAAAGTCATTTATGACAGGTCCTCGCACTTTTGACTGGTCCTCACATTTATGCCCGTGCAGCATTCTTAACAACCATGTCACTCATTTCACAGCTGCTTCTCTTCACCATGGTGATAAGATAGGGCAAAAACATAAAATGTGAGGACAGTTGTAAGTTCAAGGACTGGTCAAAAGTGCGAGGACCAGTCAAAAATAACTTTTACAGCCCTCTGAGCAGTCCATATGCATAAAAGGATACAGCAATAGAGAGGGATGAAGGAAGGGAAGGGAAATTAGAGTAGGAGTGAGGGTAAGAGAGGGAGGAAGAGAGGAGGAGAAGGAGAAAGGAAGAGGAAGTAGGGAGGAGAAGAAGGGGGGAAGAGAAAGTAAGAAGGAAAGAAAAGAGAGAGGTGGTAGGTTTGAGGAGAAAGATTGCTGTACAATAAAAAAGATGAAAAGGAAGAAACCCAACCCCAAACAAATATAAAGATATTAAGATAAAGAATGAATTGTTAAACTTTAAAAAATAAAAGAGAACAAATATGAATAAATAGCAATAATTAGAAACACACATACAAACATACAATGTATTTTCTTTGAACAGAGTATTTGGCCGGTTCACAAATTTAAACAGTGTTTAGTCATTTCAATTAAATTTACAATTTCTATATTTCCTTTTTGCCACATTTATTCCTCATCTATTTTTTTAAAAAAACAATATTACCCTTCATCGTCGTCTCTAATCTTAATCAAATTCAATTTTTCCCTTCTATTCTATATTATACCCCTTCCCATTGTCATCTATTTTTATATCCATCCTCACATTGGTTAATTATGTAATTATGTAATATAGTTGTTTAATACAAATTCAACATTTTAATATGAATCAATTAGTTATATAACTATCTTTTTTGTATATTAATCAAGATGAACATGAATATTCCAATTATTTCCATGCAATCCAATTTCTTACAAATCAATTAATTATATTTACCAATAATAATAAACCAAATAATTTCCCCCATATATTCCTCCAAACCACAACTTAACCATTTCTACTTTCAACACAATATACAATTAATAGTATCTCAATTATTACAATTCCCTAGTTAAATAGAGCTTTTTTTCTTTTGTGTTTTAAAATCTTGAACTCTCCTCTTTTGCCCTAAATTTCCCATTGTTTGCAGTTTTGCACCTACCTTTTTTGGTGAGGAAAAAGAAAAAGAAAAAGAAATCTCTCTCTGCCTCATTTTGTCAAATTGCAGCAAAGACCCTGCTTTACTTTCAGTTTCGCTTTTAAAGCATAGTTAGGGGGGGAAAATCTGCAGCACTCTGCAGCTAGCAACTACAGAGCCCTGAGCAAAACAGCTGAGAGCAAATCAGCTGAGAGTCGGGAAGCCGATCTAATCAACTTATGCTAATTAACCTATGCTGAAGCTTTAAGGGGCTGTTTTTTCTATTTTTGCAGGCATAGGTCTACTCATTTGTTTTCTTTTAACACTGATCAGCTGTAGGGCCGCCCTTTGAAGCCCCGCGGCAAGAGTTTAAACAGTTTTTTTCCCTCTAGCCATCAGCTGGGACTCAGGAGACAGCCGGGAGCAACCCACCATGCGCCGTGCATTCTTTCCAAAAATCGGGACTTTTTTAAAAAGCCGCGGGACGTGGGACAAATTGTTCAAAAGCAGGACTGTCCTGCCAAAAGCGGGACATCTGGTCACCTTACCTATGGGAGTCTGACTACAGCCAATAGAATACATTTTTGGCACAGGAACAGGAAGCTCAAGGGCAAGGCCCAAGAGAAGGTATAAATAACCCTCATTATCCATGGACCACAACTCCATGTGGGCAACTGCCCAGGGCCTCAAACCCATATGGTCCTGTTCATCAATAAACCATCTTTCCAATCAGTCTCCATGTTTCCAGTGTCTTTCTCTCCACTTAGAACTAAACCAGATGGATATTTCTTCCAACACTGCTATTTTCAGAAAGTCTCTATCTTCTTTTTCTTTTGTGATCAATATTGTGCCAAAATAAATCTATGAACAGATTGTTTCCATTCATATTATGATTCTATTGTGCCAAAATCCAGGAATCAGTGTGCACGATGAATTGTGCACAGTGAACAATAGAGATGGGCAAATCAAAGTCTGCAGATCACATCTGGCGCTCATCTTTTCTGGGAGGTGAGTGGGCATGGGCAATCTCTTCAGCCCTTCTGTAAATGGGAGGCTTTAAGAGGCAAAATGGGTGCTTTACATAACGCATAGTGTGCTTTTCCCCCCTTTCTGTTTTCCTGAGATGCCTTACATAATTTTTACACTCAACTAAGTCCCAAAGCAGAGTTCTATTCCAGTAAGGTGAAATTTTGATTTGGATTTTTGATGTTTTCATAGTCCTCAGATAGCATTTCTAACCAGAAAAATATCCAGTTAGTCTGCAGATCCTCTTTAGGGTCAACACTGAGATGAATTCAAATGATTCCATTCCTAAGCTTCAAATTCTTAAGAGGTAGCTTAAAATATATGGTTAGTTTGACTAAAAATTTAAAATATTTATTTCCATATTATTTTTCTGTCTTTGTTTTTTATTCATATGATTTATTTATTTGTTTTTTATTATTATCATCCAAGACAAGCGAGCTGGGGAACGGAGGAGAGCATACGATTTTAAAAAGATCATTAACTAGAACTCCTGGCACTCAAATTCTTGAATGGACCTTAAGAAAGAAGAATACTCCTTGCTATGTAATTATCTAATACATATTCTTAGCAGTGTGAAACAGTCATATAGATATCCACCCACATGGGATTGTTCTACTTTGTCTATTGCTATTTTCTTGTTCATTCCATTCTATCTTTTGGTTAGATGCTCTATTATTTTTCAATTAATATAGTATCAATCGGAAAAAAATAAAAAAATTGCTTTTTCCTTCCTATCAGCAGCATCTAATCGGCATCCTTACCTGATCATCTGATATTCTGATGATTATTACACAGCTTCTGGAAATAATGGAGTCTTTGTTCAATGTTATAGCTGACACAGAAAGGTCAGAGTGCCCTCCTCCATCCTTCCTTTTTGTATGTTTTTGGTGGGATGAAACAGAAGGCAAAGGCTATGTGTTGGTGGAGACTCAAAGCACCCCATATTTATATGTTAGCTATTCTGTAGAGAAAATAGTAATAGAAGGGAAGCACAGAAAAAGTGAAAATACCAAAAAAGATCACTCTATTATGCATTGTTATTTTCAGATTTGTATGGAACATGCAGAAGATTCTAAGTGTGTGGGTGGGTGGGTTTCAACTGGGCACAATACCCAAGTAGAGTGAGATTAACATACAACTGTTTGTTAGAATCAATGAGATAATACCTGCTTCACTCTAATTCTAGACCTCCCAGAAGTTCATTCCAATCTGTTCATTCCAATTCTCTGAAACTACAGGTTTCTCAAGATATGGCCATAATGGAGCCTGCCCATTAGGGTCACATGTCTCAATCGTTGTTAGGTGAAGCATCTCACCTAACATCCCCCCCCATCCCTGCTCTCCCCAATGAATTGTTAAACAATTGCTGAGTCATTAAGTGGAGCCCAGGGTGCATCAGGCATGGGGGAGCCCCTTGGAGGCCTAGCACAGGCACAGGCCCACCTCCCGGCCCACCCAAGGCCTCCCCCACCAGAGGTCTGCTTCCCACCCTTTCGGTCCCCTCAGGCCTTAAGCCTAATTCCCACCCCACCAAGCCAATCACCCTCCTCGTCACTTACCTTTTGAAGAGCTCCGAGGCCTTTCAGAGCACCAAAATGGATTGCTTTTCTTATGCAGCCACATGGCATGGTTACAAAAGCATCCGTCATTTTGTACTACCTTCAAAATGATGGCAGTGTTCAGTTCATCTCCACCAGCTGGGAGACAAACTGCTTTATTTTGCTGCCTTGTCAGGGTCTGCACAGCACTGCAGAAACTTTCTGCAGCATTCAGAAGCTTTTGCAGTGCTACACGGACCTCATTAAGGCAACAAAACAAAGCAGTTTGCCAGCCATTTTATCCCAGCCCACAACAGGAAGGATGAAATGGCAGCCTCATTCGGGTTGCTCTGTGCGGCCCAGGGACATATGGACTGCCCTCCTTCCCCAATATGAGAACCAGAAAACTTCCAAATGTAAGTACAATGGGTGATGAGTATATGGGGAGCAGGCACAAGCACTGCGGCATCCTGGTGGGTTGGGATGGGAGAAGAAGCAGCTCTGTAGCATCACTATGGTTGGTCATAAGGGTGAATGACTTCAGGAGCACTGCAGGCATCATAACTTTGAAATAGGTCATATGTTGCAACTTTGAATGTTTGTTAAGTGGCCTGTTGTATCTCAAGGACTAACTGTACACTGTAATATGATATTCCCATGCCATAAAGAAATTTGTGGTGAATGCAGGAAGGAAAGAAGGCTGGATTCATTGATCATATTGATTCATTTTCAGTTGGTGAAAGTCAATATTAGATCCCAATCTGCATTATGTGGTGGAGGGGAGGAAAAAAGCCGACCCTGAAAGTGTTTCTTGCATTTTATTCACTTTGTCACACACAGTTTCTCTTCCTGAGTGGCTGTGAAACAGTGTCTTATTAATATTTATTGCTAGGTGACATTTATGAAAAGGAGCCACAAATAATTGTTATCTGCAGTTGGCAACAATAGTCTCCACTGTATTCAAGAGTGTCAACCATCACATTACAAATGCTTATTCTGTACACATAAAATCTGCCTATTTTATGGGACTATTAAGACTTGGTTTCAATATGGACAGCTGCTGGCTAGATGGAGAGAAGATCAAAAAATTGGTATTTTGCAGCAGGATGAGAATTTGATAAAGCAAATAAGAGATGAAGGTCAAATGCACATAAAAAGGTTGTACAATGCATTATTGGAAATAGATTCAGAAACAGACTTAGTCAAGGGTTGTATGATAAAATGGGCACAAAATGTAGGTGAACCAATAATGATGGAAACATGGGAAAAGATATGGGTTAGAAATGTAAGATTTACACAAGCACAAAATTTAAGGGAGAATTTTTACAAAATGTTTTATAGATGGCATTTAGACCCAAAAAAACTAGCTTGTATGTATTCAAATTTACAACCCAAGTGTTGGCGATGTGAGTGTGAAGATGCTACATATTTTCATATATGGTGGACATGTAAAAAGATTAAGGCTTTTTGGATAAAAATATGGTGGATTATTCAAAATATTTTGAAGAAAAAAATTAAATTTACACCACAGTTTTTTCTGTTGGGAATAGTTACGGATTGTACAGTAATAGAGACTAAGTTGGTTTTGAACTTAATAACAGCTGCCAGATTACTGGTGGCACAGTACTGGAAGAAGGAAGATCCACCTACTATTGAGGAATGGACATTAAAAGTTGTGCATTTGGCGGAAATGGCAAAAATTTCATCATACCTTAAAGACCATTCAAATGAGAGATATATATCGGAATGGAGAAAATGGATTGATTACATACAGAAGAAGTATCCGAATAAGAAGATTCATATAGCTTATGAATGAAATAATATTAAGTAGTTTATGTTTTTTTTTTTGAGTTATAAGGAGTTAAGGACCTAGGGAGAATATGAAATGTAATAATTTGTTAGCACATTTTAGTTCTTGGTTTGTGAATGCTATACCCTGTGCTCGTTCTGGGAAGTCTAGGGAGGGGGGTGGGGGGGGAGGGAGGGGAAGGGAGGGTGGGAAGGGGAGGGGGGGTTGAGGGGGGAAGGGTGGGGGGTGAAAATGTTTGTATTTTTCATAAAACTTTTCAATAAAAAAAAAATAATCTGCCTATCCTATTTACTGGAAACTTGGAATGAAAAGTTTCATACATAAAAGTTACTATCATTGCACATATTGTGCCAGTTTATCCCAAAGCAAACGAATTACAGACTGTTTAAAAACAGGTTTTAAATAAGGATATCTCCAAAACCCTGCTTTTCATAAAAATCTGGCATTTTTATATTATAAAGGCATAGAAAATAAAACAACAATATATAGATACCAGTGTTTTTTTTTCTGCTAAGCAGTTGGAAAATGGAGATCTGTTTTCCCTCTATTGCTCTGATCTGGATGCTAAATAATATTGACTTAATTCTATGGCCATCTGGACCAGAAAGGATCATGATTGGATTAGTTAGTTGTGCACTTTGTTGATACAAGCTTTCTAAAATTATTTGTTCTCCAATGGCTTCCACTATTTAAACTCTAATTAAAAACAATTTGCAAGACAATAACCAATTCTATAATCATTTCAAGGAAGATTTTAATGTCTATTAGTTTTAAGTAGTGTCTGGATTTCTCAGTATTTGAGTTCTAGATTTTCAGAAATTTAGATTTTACAGTAAGTTTTATGTAAGAGGGATCAAATTAATTAATTAAAGAAAATATTTCAACAACATAAATGAAAACAAGGTAGAATGATGAGAGGATCTAACCATGTAAACCAGATGGATTATATCCCAGAGTTCTGAAGGAGCTCGTAGACATAGATGTGATCTTGGAAGCACTGAACCATAACTTTCAAAGATCCTGGAGCACTGGGAAACTATCAGAGGACTGGGAAAGAGCTGATGTGGTTTCCATCTTCAAAAAAGGAAAAAAAAATTGATCCAGGAAACTACAGACCAATCAGCCTGACATCAATATCTGGGAAGATCCTAGAAAAGATAATCAAGCAACAGACCTGTAAACACCTAGAAGCAAGCAAAATTATAAGGAAAACCAACATGGGTTTGTCAAAAACAGATCTTACCCAAACTTGAATACTGGGCCCTATCTAACAAAATGAAATTCAATGGTGAGAGAAGTAAGGTTTTATATTTAAGCAATAAAAATCAAATGCATAGGTACAGAATAGCTTAATAGCTATAACTATGAGAGGATTTAGGGGTCCTAGGGAATAACTGCTTAAATATAAGCCAGCAATGTGCTGCAGCCACCAAGAAAGTCAATGCAATCCTAGGCTGCATTAACAGAGGATAGAATCAAAATTAAGATCACATGAAGTGCTAGTGCCACTTTATAATGCTTTGGTAAGACCACAGTTGGAATATTGCAACCAGTTTTGGTTGCCACAATATAAAAAATATGTTGAGTCTAGAAAAGAGTGCAGAGAAGAGTAACAGAGATGATTAGGGGGTTGGAGGCTAAAACATATGAAGAATGGTTCCAGGAATTGGGTATTTCTAGTCTAATGAAAAGAAGGACTGGGAGTGACATGATAACAGTGTTCCGATATTTGAGGGCTGCCACAAAGAAGAGAGAGTCAATTTATTCTCCAAAGCACCTGAACACAGAACAAGAAGCAATGGATAGAAACTAATCAAGGACTAAAAGACCTCCAAGGTCCCTTTCAACCCTATTATTCTAGTTCTATGTTCATGTTCCCATTTTAGTTTGAGAAAAATGGCATTAACTTTGCTAATATATATAGTGTTGGGAAATCATTAAAATTTGTAGTGGAGCAAATTCCAAGCAGTTCAATGAAAAGCATGGGGCAAGTCTTTTTAAATGTTATTCTACACTGCCCATTTAGAATTGGACTAAATCTTGAATAGCACAAAGGATAGGAACATGTTCTCCCAGCCATGCTTTGGCACTGCACACTTGGATCTAATTTGGATAATCAGGCTGCTCCCTTAAGGTAATGAGGTCCTGAATAAATGAGGTCCCAACATACAAGCTCCCTTGAATCTCTTGCTATTTTTTTCTGCAAAAATGTTTAGATTAAAAGGGGGAGATGGTCACAAAAAAAGGTGAGAAACCTATTTCTAACCCATCAGTTACTGAGATGTGGACTGGTCAATATGACAGCCATCCCTCAGTGTAGTGAACAGTTCTTACTCACCTCTCCCCTATATTGTAGCTCCACTTGTTCATTATTTATTTGATTTATAAGACACCTCACTCCAGAGGCTTTAGGGCAGGGGTGTCAATTTCAAAACTTAATTTCATTATGGGACGCATCAACATTATGGTTGCCCTCAAAAGGCAAGTAGCTGTCCAGTTGTTTTGGGACCGCACCCAAGGCGCCTATTACTATTGGTACTACCCTTGTTTGCCTTTGCCATAGTCATTATATTTGTATTTGTAGGTCTTTGTATTTTGCTATCTTCTCCAGTTTTTTCTCTGTCAGTGGCAGTGCTGTCTCCAGGCACTGCCACCCAGACTTTTTTGTCTTTTTTATTGACAACTGTTATGTGGCAGGTGCCTGTCTGTCTGGATTCTAAGTCCCAGAGCAATTTAACTTCTTCATTTTCTATTACTTTTTCTATTTTACGGTCCCACCAGTTCTTGCTTACAGGCAAATGATATTTCTTGCAGATCTTCCAATGCACCATTGTTGCTACTTTGTTGTGCCACTGCTTGTAGTCAGTTTGTGCAATCTTCTTGCAGCAGTTTACCAGGTGGTCCACTGTTTCTTCAGCTTTTTTGCATAGGCAGTACTTTGTCAGTCTCTGTCTTCTCAATTCTGGCTTTGTATACATTTGTCCTTAAGGCTTGGTCTTGTGCAGCCAGAATTAATCCCTCAGTCTCTTTCTTTAACTTTCCTGCTCTTAGCCATTGCCAGGTCTTGTTGTTGTTGTTATTTAAAAAACATTTGTAAAATGTTTCAAGAAACTGTTATTACCAACAAAGTGTGCTCTATTTTTGTAAGCAATCCCCCCCCACTCCACCTCAGTGACAAGTGTAATCTCAGTTATAATACAAGTGAGCAGGGCCAATTCATACAGGTTAGTGCAGATCCTTGTATTAAGAGATCCACTCTTGCTGCTTGGCACATACATGTCAAAGTGCCACCTTTCAGAGCAACCAGCAATTTATTCTTTCAACAAGATCCATGGTGAGGATGATTTCTACCACTCGGGGCTGCTGGATACTCATAGCAAGTAAGGAATCCCTTGCCTGGAATAATTCAGGCTTACAGAAACACTGCAGCATGATGACCCAAGGAAGGCCAAGAAAAGGCTAAGCCATCCCTTAATAGTTTATTCACTATTCTACATATACAGGCTCATGGTATTTCAACTTCAAACACTTTGAAATCACATGTAATGACTGTAAAACAGAGCTTTACAAACACACTAATGGCGATATGTTACATTTATTACATGAAAATCTACCACTCCAATTTGTGCACTGTATTTACCTCAAAAGAAAACAAATATGAGTTTATGATGATTTGTTCCCCAATCAAGAAAATGTAAATATAGGCAAAAATCTTTTGCAATACCCAACTTCTTTTATTGTTCAGCTAAGGATTTAACGTTTGCTAATATCAATTCTGGAGATTTCCCCACTTCAATAACTGTTTGCATATGACACAGTACAGTAATACAGTAGTGTGTACATTTATGTATATCTGTATACATTTGTCAGAAACTATTCTCCAAAAATGGGCATGACAAAAAGATGCATTAATATTTGGTATAGCAGTAAGGTAAGACATCTTTTATACAACGAAGAGTCACTCACAGAAGCATTTCCCTCTCTAGAATGTATAGAGCAGGAGTTTCAAACTCACATCATCACGGTGGCATCATGTGATATATCGGGACATTTTTTCCCCCTTCGCTAAACCAGGCGTGGGCATGGCCAGCGCGTGATGCATCTGGCCCATGGGCTAGGAGTTTGACAGCCCTGGTATAGAGGAAGAAGAAAGAGCAAATACCCAGGGAAGGGATAGTAAGAAGAAACTAAAATTGGTGATGAGATATGAAGTAAAGAAAACTGAATAAGGTAGGAAAGAAAAGAAAAGGAATTTCTGTTTAGATGTCAAGAAAAAATCCTCCCAAGGAACCATTTGCACCTCTGCCTATTTATTTGTTTTCAATCAATGTTACCTGTCTATTCCTCTGTCACAATCCTCCCATTCCTACACAATTCACTGATAATTGGAGAGGATTTATCATTTTCCTATTGATATATTTGAATGTCTCTATCTGGCCCAAACTGTAATCTTAAAGCCCTTGCTGATAAACCAGTAATCCAACTGTACGTAACACAAAGAAGGGCATAACAGTATTAAAGGTCTTCAAGAATTGATAATTTTGTTAATTTTTAGGCACTTTTAGATAGTAAAGAAAGTGTTGATGAATAATGTAAAAATTTATATTAATTGATATAGCTTCCAATGACGGTAGACTGAAATATACTATCTTCTATGTTCCAGAGAGGTAGTACTGCTTGGCTCCTTGGCTCTCCAGTCTTTTTGTAATAGGTCAGAGATAGTAGCCACATAGTTGCAAAGGAGAGTATGTTTTGACCATTCAGGTGAAATAAATATTACATTTCTCAGTTAATAGTGGCACATTCCATTCTTCCGAAGTCAAAAGAATTAGTTTTATGACCCTTGGAGTTCAACTGGATTCTGAATTCTGCAAGAAGACTTGGGCTTGCATATACATTTTGTCAATCCTCAGTTTGTAATTGGCTTTGTCTAATTAACTTTCCCTTCCCTTATTAATTACCAGTAGTAATGGAAGATAACTGTTTGAAATCAAATCTTGCTCTTAATCGATGATAATAGTAAAATTTTAAGTTCTCCATGAAACTTAAATCCCCACAATATGAATATTCTGGAGTCTGAAAATTTTCCATTGCTTTGAAAATTGCACTGATTTAAACATAGGACAATTCCTATGTTTAAGGTAAGTCTTGCTTCACTTTCCTGTAGTGCTTTCTCACAGAAAGGAAATCCAAATCTCATTATAGAAAATGGCAATGCTCTTCTTGATTTTAATGAAGTTCCATTTTATGTATAAGTATTTATGATTACCCTGACATTACCATTTGAAAATAAATTTTAAGGAATTGGAAGTATCAAATTTTCTCCAGATGAGAATGGTAGGCTCTCAGCTTGCTCAATGTTCACAAAAATCCATTTTCCCATTCCATAAATTAAGTGCATTGAGCAATTCCTCAAATATGATTCACACAGAAAATAAAATTATTTTTGTTGTACAGTACTATTCTATTGTTAAGGGTAAACCTGATGCAATATTAGGCAAGTCTGTGCCTTAAATATATAAGCATAACTTACCCCAAAATTTATGTATTACAAACTTAGTCACACAAATATTTTTTTTTCATGGTAACTATTTCACATATTAAAGTTCAAAAGCTTCTAGTTTGCAATCTCTGTACCTGCATGAACAAGCAATGAGTGTTGTTTTGAACACATTTTTAGCAGTACTTATTTATTTCATTTTTGTTGATTTGTCATTTCTTATGAAAGGATTCACTTATTTGTATACATTGTTCTTCTTTTCCTTTGGCTTCAACAGTTATGATAAACCACGATACCAAAAAGTATGTAAAATGATGAGTACTGAAAAGTATATGCATTTATGGGGGTGGGGGGAGAATGTTTTACTTCATCAAAATTGGTAGTTTCAATTCAAACTTTAAAACTAGGGAAATATCTTGTAGATATAGTCTCAATAGAAAATGTTTTTTGAAATTCACATTAGATACATCTTAACTTCAGAAGAAAATATTTTAATTTTTTCCATGCATGGCTTCTATAAATTGACTTGCAAAGGGAAAACAATTCTGAAACTATTCTTTCAAATATTCCTGTTTTTTGCCAAATTTTCCAAATGAGAAATGAATTTTAGAAAATTCAAATATGTGAAATATTCATGTGAATTTTTTTGCATGCTGTGCCTTCCTGATGAAAAAGTAAATCTCTTCCCATTTTTTCCTCCATATGACTTCTGTAATGAATCCAGCATTCTGTTTATTCATGACCTCAAATTCCTCAAGCTGTAAAGTAGGAGCTATGCATTGAGTACAGGTTATCAATGGGATTGCCCACTCTTGATTGTAAGGGTCCAGGTTCTGTAGATGCTAAGAAACAGTTGCTCTGGTTGCTGAAGGAGTTGTCATCGCTATCCATCTCACAAAAAACGGGCTCAGAACCTTCACAATAGAAAATAAAATGGTTAGTTCTAGCATCATCCTTTGAAAGAGACAAGTCATATTTGGAGCCACAAAAATGAGTCAAAACTATTCAATGCAACTGTACTCTAATACAATTTCCATATATTTAAATAATAGATAGAAAAGTTGTCAACCATTTCTGAATATCATGGCTGCTAGATGTGAAACTGCAAAAATACATCTGATCACTAAATGGTGGCAAAAACATATTTAAAACCCTAGTTTGTTGCTGATATCTTAGTGGTCATCTGGAATTTTGTAGTATAGATCTGTTGGGACTATAAGATAAGATACTCAAACTGGCCTAGATATGTACTATAGGTTGGAAATGTCTAATGATCAAATTTTCAGAAAATTGATAAAATGAACTCATACATATTTATTTATTTATTTATTTTATTCAATTTGTATACCGCCCTTCTCCTAGTGGACTCAGGGCGGTGCACAGCCAGAACTAAAACACATAACAATACAAAATTTAAAATTATTAAAAGAATTACATACTTTGGCCCAATTTAAAACAATTCGAATTTAAAACCCATTGACAGATTAAAAGCTAAAAAACTAAAACACTAAAAAAGGGGGGGGTTCACGCCAGCCCTGCTTGATGGAAAAGAAAAGTTTTCAGGGCACGGCGAAAGACCCGGAGATCCGATATCCTTCTTATCTCCGGGGGCAAATCATTCCAGAGGGCAGGAGCTGTCACAGAGAAGGCCCTCCCCCTGGGGGTCGCCAGCCGACATTGCCTGGCTGACGGCAACCTGAGGAGTCCCTCTCTGTGGGAGCGTACTGGTCGGTGGGACGCTATCGGCGGCAGAAGGCGGTCCCGCAAATACCCAGGTCCTATGCCATGGTGCGCTTTAAAGGTGGTAACCAACACCTTGAAGCGCACCCGGAAGACCACTGGAAGCCAATGCAGCTCACACAGGAGAAGTGTCACATGGGAGCACCCCCTCGCTCCCATAATCCCCCACACGGCCGCATTCTGCACCAGTTGGAGCTTCCGGGTACTCCTCAAGGGGAGCCCCATATAGAGAGCATTGCAGTAGTCCAGGCGGGAAGTGACAAGTGCCTGAGTGACTGTGCATAAGGAGTCCCGATCCAGAAAGGGATGCAACTGGCGAATCAGGCGGACCTGATAAAAAGCCCCCCTGGCCACGGCCGTCATATGCTCTTCTAAAGACAGCCGTGCATCCAGGAGGATGCCCAAGTTGCGAGCCCTATCCGTGGGGGCCAATAACTTGCCCCCAATAGGCAGCGATGGCACCAGCTGGCTATATCGGGACGCCGGAAGCCACAGCCACTCGGTCTTGGAAGGGTTGAGTCGAAGCCTGTTACTCCCCATCCAGAGCCGCACGGCCTCCAGGCATCAGGACATCACTTCAAGGGCATCATTGGAATGGCCTGGGGTGGAGATGTACAGCTGCGTATCATCAGCGTACTGATGGAACTCCACCCCAAAGCCACGGATTATCTCACCCAGTGGCTTCACATAAATGTTGAACAGAAGGGGTGAGAGGACCGACTCCTGAGGCACCCCACAAACAAGGCGCCTTGGGGTCGACCTCTGCCCCCCTGCCAACACCGACTGCGACCGGTCGGAGAGATAGGAGGAGAACCACCGCAGAACGGTGCCCCCCACTCTCAACCCTTCCAACCGGTGCAGCAGGATACCATGGTCAATGGTATCAAAAGCTGCTGAGAGATCTAACAGGACCAGAATAGAGGAACAACCTCTATCCTGAGCCCTCCAGAGATCATCCACCAACACGACCAATGCCGTTTCCGTGCTGTGCCCAGGCCTGAAGCCGGACTGGAGCGGATCCAGATAGACAGCTTCATCCAGGTACCCAGGAAGCTGTCGCGCCACCACACTCTCAACAACCTTCACCAAGAAGGGAAGGTTGGAGACCGGACAATAGTTAGCCAAAACAGCCGGATCCAGAGCAGGCTTCTTGAGGAAAACCAGTTTGGTGGGTGGCTAAGGTCCTGGGTTAGAAACCAAGATGTGTTGCCCAAATTTATTATTATTATCTTATTTTAAGTCAACATAGTAAAATTCATATTCTGAAAGATACAGTATAAACCAGGTGTGTCCAACCCGTGACCCAAGCTCAGTATGAGGATCTGGACAGCTAGTAAAACAGCCCCATAAGATCATAAAAATAGTTTTTAAAAATAAAGGAAGTTCATTATTCATATACTATATTACATATTTTGTTTGGCCCAAGACAATTCATCTTCCCTTATTGAGACCTAAGCAACTCAAAAGGTTGGACAACCATAGTATAAACTATTATAGTACAGAAATAATCATAATGAATAGGAATGGTTAGTTGCCTCTCAAAAAAAGAACAAGAAAAAGAAACCTAAGCCAGCCAGGAGCTGGATAGTACTCTCAAACCATATGGAAATTGTTGTAAGATAACCTAGGAAGCCAAAAAATAAGGGGTCCTTGGTGCTCTCTGAGCTTGCTTGTTTTCATACAGATATTTCATTACCCAAACTTGCAGAAACATCTGCAAGAAAACAAGCAAACTCAGAGAGCACCAAGGACTCCTCATTTCAACCCTGAGCTACAAATATTCTCCTTTATTGGAAGCCAAAAAATGTAGCAAAAATGCAAAGGCAAACTATTTAAATATTGCTGCCAAGAAAACAACATGGAGAGTCCATATACTGTAGCCACCTGGAATTAAGCTCAAATTGAGGGAGTCTTGTCACATCACTTTAAACCTGGCTGCCCAAATTTAGCATAAATGTAGTCTTAAAGGGTTAGACATAGTTGTTAACTTTGGAGAAACTGAATTTTGAGCTTCTAGGAATTTAAGGTTAAATTTCTAGGAGCACTTCTCCATGGATACTTCATGACATCCCAACTGTTAAGAGTTTCCCTTAGTTCAGGTGATACATTGCATCTACTTATACAGAAGAGGGTATAGGTGCTATCTGAGCTTTTCCAGTCCTTACCATAAGGATGCATGTGGTCCCCTGGCATCTGTGGGGGAGTAAGCCCTTGCTGGAAGGAGTCTGAGTTATAGACACTATGATCAATAACCAACATTTGTTGTGAGGCTGGTTGCAAGGTTGTGTATGAATTCATGATTCCTTCAAAATTAGTGCTGTTGCCATTGCTTGTCTGAGCTGGAAGACAAGGAAGAATGAAAAGTTTTTAATTTTTATCTCACCTTTAATTTTGATCAACATGAGGTAGTGTACATACCTAATATTCCCATTTCCTATATTCCACACAACAACAATACTATGAGGTAACCTGACCTGAGAGAGAATGTCTGACTGAAAGTCATCCAGCCAGCTTTCATACCCAAGGGAAAACTAGAACTTACATCTTGGTTTCTAGCCCAGAACCTTAGCCACTACGCCAAACTGGTTTCATATGTATGCATTCATTTTATCAATTTTCTGGATATTTGATCATTGGACTTTTCCAACCTATAGGAGGTATCTAGGTCAGTTCTGATATCTTATCTATACCCCTAACAGATCTGGATTACAAAATTTCAGATAGCTTCTAAATATCAGCAACAAAGTAGAGTTTTAAATATGTTTTTGCTACTATTTAGTGATCAGCTAAAATTTTGCAGCTCCCATCTATTCATGATATTCATAAATGGATGACAATTTTTCTCTTCTTCCATATGTTGAAGGTTAGGGTAGCCATATTTCCTAATTCCTAATAATGACTTCTTGGGTAGATTACAGAATTTAAAAACTAAGGTGAATGGCATGAAATATTATGGTCCTCAGATAATCTAACAACATCTCCAACTCAAGAAGTTAGTTTTTATAAGAATAACAATGACAAAAATAGTTCACAAAAACTGAATCTTGGGTGAATAACCATCAAGTTAATAGCAACATAGTGGAAGAGAAACAGAATGAGTATCCTGGTTTATATTGTCTTTCTATGGCTTTCAACAAAGGGGAAAATATCCTGCTACCCACCTCCTGTCATCTTCTGATGTATAATAGTGTGTGTGTGTGTGTGTGTGTGTCTGTCTGTCTGTGTGTGTGTGTGTGTTCAAGTCAGTGTTGGCTCCTCGCAACTGCCTGGTCATGACCTTTTGACAAGGTCTGATTCAATAAAGAAGCAGTAAAACCTGCTGTCTGGTAATTTGAATATAGCTTCCAAAAGTCCCATCTCTACAACCAGATTCTTGTGAATCCATGTCCCTCTACAACAGACCTAAGCATTGTACAGCCCATGGGCCACATCCAGCCCTTTGGCTGTACTGTCCAGGCTACGGCAGCATTGAAACATTGGCATGGGACAGGGCAGCACCAGTGGGGGACAGGTACAGTAGCAGTGGCCCTCCATAACAGTACCAACTTATCATGTGGCCTTTTGGGGAATTTAATTGCCCACCCTGGCTTTATAAACTACTGAATTTTCTTTTCTCCCTGAATTCTGTCTTCCTCTCATCAGCCCCTGTCCTCCATCTGGATCCACATTGGAAATGTGGGAATTTCCATAAAATTTTAAAATAATCTTAATGTCAACTTGCAAAGCTTTCCAGACCAGCATCTTTAGGGCATCTTTCGGAAACTTCACACTTTATTGAACTCATGAAACTAAATCCTAATCTGTCATTGTGGGGAAAAATAGGAGGAGGGATTACTATATGTACTACCTTGAGCTCCTTAAGTAAAAACAAAACACATATCTACAAGTATAGCAGGGGTGAAATCCAGCAGGTTCTGACAGGCTCTGGAGAACCAGTAGTGGAAATTTTGAGCAGTTTGGAGAACTGGCAAATACCACCTCTGGCTGGCCCCAGAGTGGGGTGGGAATGGAGATTTTGCAATATCCTTCTACCAGGAGTGGGGTGGGAAAGTGGATTTTGCAGTATCCTTCCCCTGGAGTGGGGTGGGAATGGAGATTTTGCAGTATCCTTCCCCTGCCACGCCCACCAAGCCACACCACATCCACCAAGCCATGTCCACAGAACCGGTAGTAAAAAATTTTGGATTTCACCACTGAAGTATAGGTATGTACTACAGGCAACTCACTCAACCTGAGAAAATAGATGAACTCTTTGCTGATAAATACCAGAGGACTGGAAAAGAGTTGATGTGGTACCAATCTACAAAAAGGGGGAAAATGGTTCCAGAAACTTATAGGACAATCAGTGTGACATCAATACCTGGGAAAATTCTGGAAAAAACAATCAAATGGTGAATTAGTGAGCACCTAAAAGCAAACAAGATGATTATGAAAAGCCAGCATGGATTTGTTAAAAACAGATTATGCCAGACAAAATTTATTGAACCATGGTGGCACAATGGTTAGAATGCAGTACTGCAGACTACTTCTGCTGACTGCCGGCTGCCAGCAGTTGGCAGTTCAAGTCACACCAGCTCAAGGTTGACTCAACCTTCCATCCTTCCAAGGTCAGTAAAATGAGGACCCAGATTGTTGGGGGCAATATGCTGACTCTGTAAACTGCTTAGAGAGCACTGTGCAGTGGTATATAAGTCTAAGTGCTATTGCTATTGCCTTTTTTGATAAAGTACCTAAATTAGTGGATCAGTGAAATGCTATGGATTTCAGCAAGGCATTTGACAAAGATCATAACCTACTTCATGGTAAGATACAATAATGTGGGATAGACAATACAACCACCAGAAGGATTCACAATTGGCTGATCAACCACACTCACTGGGTAGTCCTCAATGGAACTACATTTATATGGAGGGAAGTATGCAACAGGATACCTCGAGGTTCGGTTTTAGTAGGTCCAGTACACTTCAACCTCTTCATAATGATCTAGATGAGGAGATAAAAGGGGAACTTATCCAATTTGCAGATGACACCAAGGGGAGAATTGCTAACACTTTGGAAGATAGGTTCAAGATTCAGAAGGACCCTGACAGACTTGAACACCGGGACCTAAGTAACAAGATGCAGTTCAGTGGTGGGAAAAGTAAGGTCCTGCACCAAGGCAAGAAAAACCAAATGCATGGGTACAGAATCAGTGGTATTTGGCTCAACAGTAGTAAATGTGACAGAGATCTAGGTGTCCTACTGGATCACCTTTTAAGTATGAGCCAACAATGTGCTGCACCTGCCAAAAAAGTTAATGCAGTCCTAGGCTGCATCAACTTAACTGCTATTTCTGTATTCTACATACTTGTCTATGACCAAATAAAGATTTGAAGATGATGACAAGAAGTGATAGTACTACTTTACACAACACTGTTGAGACAACACTTGGAATATTTCATCCAGTTCTGGTCAACATGATACAAAAAAGATGTTGAGACCCTCAAAACTGTGCAGAGAAGAGCAATAATAATAATAAAGGATCTGGAGGCTAAATCATATGACAAATGGTTGAGGGAGCTGGGTATGTCTAGTCTATCCAAGAGATAATTAGGGGGACTTGATAATTACTTGAGGGATGTCACAAAGAAGAGGGGATTGACTTATTCGTTACCGCACCAGAAGGCAGAACAAGAATTAATGGGTAGAAACTTGTTAAAGAGAAATCCAACCTAGAAGTAAGGAGAATTTTTCAATGGAATAGCTTGCCTCCTGGGGTTGGAGATGATCCATTATTGGAGGTTTCAAAAATAGACTGGAAAACCATTTGACTGGGGTGGTATAAGGCTCCTGCCTTGAGCAGGGGCTGGGCTAAGACCTCCACTGTCCCTTCCAGCCCTATGATTCTATGAATGCTAGATGACTCATTATGATTTACGACTGGTCCTCACACTTACTATCATCACAGCATCCCCACATCATCAAAATTCGAGCACCTGGCAATCGGCATGCATTTATGACAATTGCAGTATCCCAGGGTCATGTCATCACCATTTATGACCTTCCCAGTTGGCTTCTGAGAAGCAAAATCAATGGAGGAAGCCAGATTTGCTTAATGACTCAGCTTAACAACTGTAGTGATTTGCTTAACAATCATAGCAAAAAAAGGTCACAAAATTGGGCATCACTCACTTAACACCTACTTTTCTTAGCAGCAGAAATTCTGATCCCAATTGTAAGTCGAATATATGAATAAATATTTTGCAAAGAAAGAACAAATTGTGTATGTATCTGTGTGTATATGAAAGAAAAACAAGAGTATGGAGTATGCTTAAAGAGTGTGTATATTTCTGGACATGTATTTTCAGGTTTACATATCCACAATAGTAAAATCTTCTCCCTTCAGGCTAGAGCTGTCCTACCTGGTTGTTTGTGACTCCAGTACAGTTGCCTGGAACTCATTCAGGCTTTGGCTGAAATAGGTTAATAAAGCACTGTAATAAAATATATACAAAACCTGAATTTGTAAGGAGAAACAGTTCTAATATATTTTCCTTTCTTGATTAATAACCACTATACTTTCACTGTAAAGAATTTATATCTTACTTTCAGAATGGCAGCAGGTGGTGCATTTTCAAGAGAGAGAGTTTCCATGTCAAAAGAAAATTAGAGACCAAATCTTACTTGCAGTGAATCTTTGTGTGTTTTGCTGATCTTGCTGTTGCTGTTGTTGTCGCCTTGCTAATTTCTTCATCTGTGAGTAAAATAGGAAGAAAATTCAGAACAACATAATAACTCTCCTTGGTTATCTTGAATGGTAGAATAACCTCAGAGAAAATTGATGGATAGTTAAACAATTTGGATGATTCCTGGTGATGTTACTATGGTACTCTGATATCCTTCATCTGTTGAATTCTATGAAGCATTCACTGGGAGAAGCTCACAAGCTTCCTACACTTATAAAATGATGAGACATTCCTGCCTCATGTTTATTCAATCATCTTTACCTTTCTACATAGAGATAGCCCTCGCTTACTGACTACTTGTTCAGCAACTATTCAAAGTTACAACAGCACTTCATGAATGAGGGGTACTTACAACAAATCCTCAAAGTTCTGAGTGCTACAGCACCCCACAGTCATGTGATCATAATTTGGGTACTTAGCAAAAAGCTTGAATTTATGTTCGTTACAGCATCTTATGGTCGTATGGTCCCCATCTATGCCAGTTTCCCTAAGCAAAGTCAATTGGAAAGCCAGCAAGGAAAATCACAAGTTGCTCTGTAAGTCCTACCACCGACCTTCCAGAACACCACATCGCACATTCTTTCTCTGAGCTTCCCTGCACTCACACACATCCCCTCCCCCAACTCTCATGTGGTCTCTGCTATGCTCCTTACCTGGACTCCTGAGACTTCCCAATTGTGGTTACAATAGCAACTGAGGCTACCTGAATTGACCTTTCTAAGTGATACAGTCACATGACACCACAATTTATGACTGCATCCCAGTTGTTGCTGTAATTTGAGTACTACCTGTACTCTTAGCTCTGGTACTGCCTACAGCTGCTGTTCATTTTTTGTACTCATCCAGCTCCCCTCTCTTTGTATTAATATTAATATAGTACAAAAGAAATAATTGCAGCCAAATTGAATAAACTCTTATGTAGCTTTGTCCAAAAAGTTAATGGAAATATAATTTCCCCAAAGCACCTCCTTCTATGTACACTCCTGTCTTGGATAATTTCCTATACTAAAGAATATATAAAACAAACATTTCCACACCAAATTTATTTTCTGTAGAAATATCAGTCTTATATGTTTTCAAAAGTTAATTTAAAAATCATACTGAAAGTTTTAACTTTTTATATACCAGGTTCACAAACTATTTTTATGTACAAATACACTACTTTAAAGTTTTTAGCTGGAGCCTCCTCTATGTTATACATTACTTTTTTACCTGACAGAAAGAAAAACTAAATGAACAAACCATACACACACATCTGCCCCCAAATCTCTTAAATAGAATGCCAGTCTGGTCTAATGGTGAAGGTGCCAGGTCAGAAACTGGATGACCATCACTTCTTGTCCTTTTTTAGTTATGGAAACCAGCTAGTGACCTTGGGCCAGCCACTTCAAATCACTTTCTCTAAGCCCAACTCACCTCACAAGATGATGTTGATGAAAGAGGATTATTAGATATGTTCACTGCCTTACATTATTTACAAAAATAATACAGGCAGGATTTTTAAAAATTGTTTTTCATTCCTCAAACTTTCCTGGCTCCTACACTACTTCTTTTTAAACTCTAGACGTTTCATAGCTATGGATACATCTGGGATGTATAATTTTCATATAAATTGCTGAAGAAATCTTGACAAGGGGAGTGGTGAAAAGATCTACTTGCCCCTTGTATAAAGTTGAAGATGCCTTTTTCATAAAATCCTTCTGAAAAAAATCTTATTTCTTAGTTCCAATTTCCATGTTGTATGTTGTTTGATTACTTTTGCCACCAAAAATTGGAAATCTAGAAGGGGGGAATTTCCTCAAATAGGAAACACTACTCTGACACAAAACAAACCAATTGAGAACTTATTAATATGAAAACTTTGAACCTACTGACATAAAATTAGGAAAGAATTCATATGTCATCGAATTCTTCCAAGAAATAAATATTCCCTTAGTTAGGCAAAGCTTTGCAAAACTTGCACTGAGTAGAAAGGTTTTATTGTTTTAAAAAAATCCTTAAAATTATAGCACTAGATATTCTTTTTTTAAAGCGGTATTTCCCTAATACTCTTTTTAGAGCTGGAAAAACTTTTTATTAAAATATTGACAAAAAAAAAGATAGTTGTATAACTTGAGCTTATCATAAAAGTGTTAGTAACTTTATGCCATTGTTTTGAGAATGTTGGAACTTAATGTTTTTACTGTGCATATTAAGTATTCTGTGAGGTATGATGGCTGAATTGTCAGTTTACACAATACATATTGGAACTCTAGTCCATTAACTCCTATTTCTGACATTACTGGGGAAAGGGTATACACGGCTGATTAGATAGGCATCCTCTCCTAGCAAATATCATAATATTTAATTATTAATGTAATTATTACCTTAGCTCTTTGATTCTGGAACCAGACCTGTACAACTCGGACACTAAGACCTGTCTCAGCTGCTAATGTTTCTCTTACCTTTAAAAATGTAGAACATGTAATTATATTCAGTATCATAAGACAAATGATCAGCAAAATGTAAAATATGTCTGTTTACATAACATTTTCCGCTTTCAACCTGCCCAGTATTTCAAAATGTCCAAATATATTGCGAGGTCTCTCAAAATGTGAATGGCAAGAATGTTTTGTAAACCTGTGCTCATTTTAAATTAAAAAAATAAATTTAAAAGCTCCATAATGCCTTAACTTTTCTTTCTACTGTAAATGAGGTGTCTGACCACAGCAGTTCTGTTTTATTGGTAACCCATTACTCCAGATCTCTAGTTATCTAGGTGGTTTTCAGGGGCTCTGAAAAATATATATTATTGCCTGCAAAGTAACTGCCATCTGCATTCTAGAAAAACATGACAGATGAATCCCATTATGATTAGCAGATCAGCATTTGTCCTAAACAAAATATTTTTTCCTGATTTTTTTTTTCTAGAGAGTGATGGGAGAATGGGGTTGAATGTTAGTGTTTGGCATAAGAGTACTTGGATTATTTTTTAAAAATAAATCTGTTTTTGAAATGTTTAATGGCTCTTTAGGTCTTATTTATTCTGGAGTTGGATTTTCTTCAAGTCAACATTGAAAGTTTTGGAACAGACAGGAGTGAATGAGTGAGTCAATAGTCTTCTGGTAGTGAAGAGACTGACCCTAGAACTGGTATTTTGGATGTGTTCATCATGTTTCCACCAGGGAAAATGAGGCCCAGTTCATTGTGGTGCTGGAAACTTACATAAAATTCTGCTACAGTTGACTGTACAGGATGAGTCATGCTGGAAGGGAAGCAATGTTCTTTATGATATTGTGATGGAGAGACAAGGTAGTGGGTTCTGAATTGGTTGGGGGTAAAAGTGTCAGACTTGTCTGAACATTGCAGCTGAGCATAGGCCTCATAAATACACCTAATGGTTTCTGCCCACAGGTTCCACGCTGGACAACATTTTCCACTTGACAGCTTGCAGAGCTTCCCTGCTGGACTGGTCATGTGATTCATAACTAAGATCTTTGACTAGTCTGGTATTGCAGACTAGAGTATATGATTTAGTATTATTCCAGCAGCTGATACTGATGGAATTAGGGGCTAGAAAATGTGTCAGAGATGTGTAGGATAATAGTAAGAGCGAATGGGGATCTTTTCTAAGAATCTGGCTTTCCTTTGTCTGCTGAATGCAGAAGCAGTGTGGGAGCCTGTTGTGACTGATGGTGGGATGGAATAATTGTGAGTTGTCAAGTTGCATGGTCCCAGAAATTGGGGGAGAAGGGATGGGGGAGGGTGACAGAGGGAATAGGGCAGGCAGTTCCATCTGAGTGGTGATCAGCAGAGAGAGATATGAGAGAGAGCTGGGAGTAGACTATACATAGGGAAGACAGAGTCAATATTTAATATTGATGTCACCTTCCAGCTCCTAAAAATGCTTTTTCAAAATGGCAACTGGACTGTTTTTTCTTGAGAAAGGAGAAGAAGATGTTTCACTCTTCTTCTTCAAAACTTTATCAGTTATTATGGTGGGGAGATGGAAGACTATGTTCTGACAGGATGGTGCAGGGGGGATGGAAGGATTGTATTTCTTTACAGTCATCTGGTCGTTAGCACTCTCTCAGAGAGCCATTGAGGCCACTTGAGGGATTATTTGTGCCATCAGGATCACCTAAATCAGAGTGATTTGATTAAGGCCCAGTTAGAAACATCTGCTATAAGACAGCACATTAGGCAACAGAACTAACCTCAGCCCAGATCACATATGTGCCATGTTGGTAGTGGCCTAACCACTACCTATTTTAAATACAATGAAGGTTTCTACAGACAAAAACCCGGTTGCACCATGGGTTCACCTGTGTACCCCATTGTGGCCAATCTCTATATGGAAAAGGTAAAAACCAAAGTCCTAAAACCCTTCACAGGTTTTCTACTCACTCACTGGTATACTATACCAGTGGTATAGGTATAAGGACCATACTTGGGTCAAGTTTGAAACACAGGAAGTGGAAGCCTTCACTAAAAACATATCAACTCGGTGGACATATACATTACGTTCACATGGGAAGATGTCAAAGAAAACAGTCCTGCTTTCCTGGACTGTGCAGTGCACATTAAAGAAGACAAAAGCCTTAACTTTGAAATTTACAGAAAACCCACACATAGATCAGTATTTACATTTTGATTCTCACCAACCACAGGAGCACAAAATGGGAGTGATCAGAACCTTACACCACTGGGCTGAAAGTCTGCCCACCAGTTAAGAGGGAAAAGAAAAAGAACTGAAACACATTAAGGAATTCCTTAATTATCCTCATAATTATATGTGTTTATTCTAACTGGGCCTTCATCAAATCCCCCCCTCCCAAAAAAAAGACCCAGCAGGAGCTCTTCCATTACAAGGAAGAGAACAACAAACAAAGCAACTTTGTCATTCCATACATTGTAGGAATATCTGAAAAGCTCAGGAGGATTTTCAACCAACACAATATACATGAACACTTTTAACCCAAGAACACACTAAACTTATCCACCCCGAGGATAAAACACCCAAACACAAACTGAGCAATGTGATATATGCAGTACAATGTAGTGAGACATGCGCAGAACTGTTCATTGGTGAAACAAAACAACCACTTCACAAGTGCATGGCGCAATATCAAGACAAGATTCAGCAGTCCATCTGCATTTGAAAAACAAAGGTCACTCTTTTGAAGACAGCAAAGTCCACATTTTTGATAGAGAAGACTATTGCTTTGAAAGAGGTAAAGGAGTCCATCTATGTTAAAACTGAACAGCCCTCTCTCAACAAAGGTGGAGGAATACGACACCACCTATCTCTAATCTATAATGCAACCCTTTCAGCAGTTCCGGGAAGATTCCATAATCATTTGCACTCTGATTCAGATGACCCTGAGGGCACAAATAAACCCTCAAGTGGCCTCAATAGATCTCAGAGAGAGTGCTAACAACCAGATGACTGCAAAGAAAAACAATCCTTCCATCCCCCCCACCACCACCACCACCATCCTGTCAGAACCTATCCTTCCATCTCTACACCATCCAGTCTCAACTGTCAGTACCTATCCTTCCATCTCCCCACCATTATAACTGATGAAGCTTCTTGGATGAGGAGCGAAATGCCTTCTTCCTCCTCAAGGAAAAAACAGTCCAGTTACCTTTTTGAAAAAGCACCTTTGAGACAACTATGACCTGGATGACTGAGAATCTCCATAGTGGTCCTGTTTAAATGCCAGGTTTGCTGGTATGTTGACTACTACTAGAAATATGTACCAATAATGACTTATATTTGACGAATGACAAAACCAAGAAGGTGGCTTCATTCTGGCAATTTAAAGTTTGATCTAGACACAGAAGAAGAGACTCCTAAAGAGGTAGAGAGGTTCTTTGAGACTGTCAGTAAGGCCACTTGTTTATTAGATCCATGCCCTTCCTGCTTAGTTAAAGCCTCCCAGGAGGTGATGTATGGTTGGATCCATCATTCTTGAGAGAGAGGTGGTTTAACCTCCTTGAAGATAGTGGTGCATCCCCTCGTCAAGAAGCCATCATTTGATCTATTTTAATTCAATCTCCAATCTTTCTAGGTAATATTGAGGAAAAGGCAGGCAGGCTATAACTCCAGATGACTGTTAAAGAATTAGTTATTCTACTTATCTAAATAGAAAATCTAGACCAATTTTGGTTGGGTTTCAGATTAATGTGGAGGAGAACTTACTGCATTTTTAATGACTTCTTATGGAGCCAGGACAGAAGCGGTGCATTAGATTTAATTGCATGCTGCCCAGAGTCTGCGCTGAATGGAGTGACCCTTATAAATTAAATTAGAAATATAAAGAAATATTGTTTTTGGATCACAATATGCATGAGTTATGGAAACATCAATCTCTATAAGTATCTTGGGATACAAAGACCTTAGTTAGTAAAAACTGCCAACCATAACAGATCCTACATATAGGATTCCAATCTCTTCTAATTATTAAAATGTACCTTTCTACATGGCTTAGAAGATACTTCAAATGATGCTTTAAATGCTCGGCGTTGCTGTGTGGTTAGGATTGTCCGGGGCCGCTTGGGCCGTTTATGACCCCTGATCTCCTCAGATGCTTTCCCAGTCTCTTCCATTTTGCAGAAGCTTGCTTCATCATCACTTTTACCTTATAATATGAAAACAACCCATTGCAATAAAATTCACAAATCGTTATAATTAAAATCTTTAGCTTGAAAATGTTGCACAATAACTTTAATAAATGAACACAGATGTAATTTGGGAAGCTACTTCCAATAAAGTATTGTGCAGTACATGTTGTGTGTACATGTTGGTATGCAGCCGCCTCACAGGTGTGTTGTTGTCAGGGAAACAGGAGGAAGAAAGAGTATTAAATATGTTTATCATCTTATAAATCACTTTGTATTATGACTGATGTCTACATTCAGAGAATGTAGTTTTAAACAAACACATGACACATTCAAATTTTAACTCCAACTTGCAATCTAAATTGAGTACATTCCATTGTACCATGTTAATATCACTTTAAGTCTATGTAGACAAAGTCTGCATGGAATCAAAAATAGCATTATAAAAATTACAGAATATATGAAAGTATTGGTAAAATGAGATTACTGTTTTAATTTTAAAAAATAGCTTTTTAAAATGTGTTTTCAGACATTCAATTTATTTTGAATGCAAAACACAGAACAACATGAGGCAACTGGAAGTAAAAGGAATTAGTGGTTTTTCTCTTCCAATTCTTGATCTTGAAGGATTACATGGCAGCCCTACCAGGAATAGCTGGATATATCGCATTCGTTAAATGAAGGTAAATAAGAATTTAAAATTAAGTTGCATGTTAGGATTAGTGGCTCTTCTAATTTGAATTTAGAAATGTATACACATGTAGAAACTTTTTTAAAAAAACTGAATTGCACTGAAATCCCTTTTAAAAACCCCAATGCAAGGCAAGGATAATTTTTTGAAGCAAATGGCTGTAGGTAGGAAGTTTATTCTGGCCTATTTGCATACAGTTATCTCATTTAGGGTCATTTACGTTTTTAAACTCCTTCTCTTTTAAACTCTTACAAACTATTTGCAAGTTTGTAAATGTGTTTTTGAGGCTTATCCTGGATGTGTAGCTGTTTTAATACAATTACCAGGTTTTAAAGTAAAACAAATAAACACTTATCCTCAGTATTCTTTTAAAAATTGGGCTTTATTCCTGCTGTATTTCTTTTGTCCAAGCTTATTACCCTGCAACTGTGCTGATTTGGAATTCCCATCACTCCCAACAAGCCTAGGGGATTGTTGAGAGCTGGAAAATGGAAGATTGAGGAAGCTCAACTCAGAGAATTAGAGTGATAAAATATTTCCCACCTCTGACTGCATTTGAAGCATGAAACAGAGAAAGTTTAAAATGACCAATTGGGAAAATGGTGCTGAGAGAATCCTGTCCAAAGAAAGAAAAGTAGCTTCAACACCCCCAAACACCTGCTTACCAAATCCCCTCAAATAATGGAAAGTTGATTCTGCTTTAACATAAGCAATACTTTTAATTAACTCTGTCTTTCAAGTCCTCCTCCACAGACAGGGCAGGAATTAATTAATCTTTAAAACTCCTCCTTATGTCACATGGAAAAGGACAACAGGCGGTGTACATTGTCTGCACTGACCTCAAGGCTCAATAGGGGAAAGCAATGAAATACTGGATTCATGAAAAAGATGAAAAAAATTCTTTGGTTTGAGGGAATTAGGGGAAGGAGAGATGTTAGTGCACTTTTAATTGGAAAGAAGGTGTTTCTTTCACAGGCCTCTGTTTGCTTAGGCTTGGCCACTGGGCGTCAGAGGAGGGAATCATTGAACGAGGGGCTTTACAGATTATGAACATATGGCTTCCAGTATTTTGTGCTTTATCTTCATTTTCTCATAAAGATGGTCCTGAGTTTTCATGCTGCTACTTGATCCCTTGGTTTCAAAATGGGATTGTAAAGAAAGATGCTGACCAAGCAGGAATCTGCTGTCGTATCAGCCTGGGGAAGCTGACTAATCATCCTGGAGAAGGTCTATTCTTGCTTGCAGATATGTGCATTCCTACTTTGTTTTGAGTTACAGTCTGCTGCTAAACTAAATGTGCTTTCAACAGTGTATGCAACAAAATAAGACAATCTGTGGAAATGCTGGGCCTCATACAGGAATCTGGAAAATTCCAAGAAGCTTTCCATTTAGAACCTTAGTGCTTTAGGATTTGTTAAATTATATGCAAATAATTCCAAAATCAAGTGGGGTATTTTTAAGTAAAGAATACCAAATTGGCAATGGTGACATACTGCATAAATTGAAACCAAAATTCTATCCAGTGGGCTGATCTTCCACAAGGATGAGGGAATACCCGGTGAAACTGGGAATGATGGAGATCAATGGTTGTTTATATTATAATAACAATGTTGTTTCTGATCACAAGCACAAAGATGAGAGACTCTGCTCAATTATTGTGAAAACTTTTTTTATTTGCATTGCATTAATTAGCATAATTAAATCTGGATGGATTTTATATAAAATGGCAAAGTAATGGATAAGACAGTAGTATCATTAAGAAAATCCTTTACCTAATATGGAATAGGAATATTAATGCTGGCCCTAAAGACCAATGAAGTGGTAAGATGTTACAGTGAACATCTTCACTCTAACAAGTAGGATGCAATTCCTGTTCAGAGTTGGCAAGAGATGGCTTGGTACAATTGTATTAAAGTAATTTTTAAAGTAATTGAAAAGTTTAGTTTTAAAGTATTTTTTGCAAACCAGGCTACTAGCAACTGAAAGAGTCTCAGCCAGCACCGGGGGGAAATCATTCTATTTCTTCATTGATTTTTTTTTTTTTTAAAGCTATCCTATTACTTTATTTTGATAGCCAGAAAACTACATATTTGCCAGAAGATGGCAGTATTTTGCTGATTCTGTTTTAGATGGGACTATTATTTTCAAATAATGCATTCCTGTTAAAACTGACATTTCCAAAGTAAGCAATAAAACACAACTCATCTAAAACAGGAATCCATATTTACACTTTCTTTAAAATGATTCCAGCTTTGCTGAAAAGCTTCTATTGACTACGAGACCCAAGTTTTTACTTTGCAGCTCTTAAAAAAGAATATGCATCTTCTTATCTCCTCCTGGTTTCCCCTTCACCTCTTAAGATCCTAAACCAGAGACAGAATTCTAACATAGGGGTGAGTAGGAAACTCAAAAGGATGACAGGCAGTAATAGGAGATGCAGATGATGGGCGTGGCCAGCCTCTAGCATCAAGTCCAATAGCTAATAACATCTGAACAGGAAAGCAGCTCTAAATCAGATTCTTCTTTCATGGGATTGAAATACTTCACATTAACATCTCAAATATTTCCAAAGTTACTTGCAAATCTGTCAATATGGAATTAACAGTGAGGTAATGGGGTGATATTTCCAGACTCAGAAGTCTTTTCCTTCTTGTCTTCTGTGCTCCATAGAAAAGAATAAGTTACCCAGAAGGGGGCATAATGATTTAGATAAGTACTATCTAAATTAGATAAGTACTCATCAAGAAAGCACCTGATTAGTTCAAGAATCTAAAGAACCATTTGTAAGACTGAACTTCCTTTGTCCTTTGGCTCATTGTTTTTTGCTCTTGAGGTTTGTGTCACACAAATTGTGTGGATATATAAGATTTATGCCCTAGAGACAAGCAAAGTTATAATCAGAAGCCAACACGAGTTTGTCAAAAATGGACCATGCCAAACAAATCTTATTATAGTTTTTTGACAAAGTGACTAAATTAGTGAACCAAAGAAATGCTGTGGACTTCAGTAAGTCATTTGGTAAAATAGACCATAACCTACTACTTGGTAAGATAGAAAAATGTGGGTTAGACAGCATCACCACCAGATGAATTCATAACTGGCTGACCAACCGCACACAACGTGTAGTATTTACAGGAACTATATCTATATGGAGGGACTGATACAGTGGAGCACCTCAAGTTTCTGTCTTAAACCCAGTATTCTTCAACATCTTCATAAACAATTTCGATGAGAGGATAAAAGGGAAACTCATCAAATTTGCAGGCAACACCAAGCTAGGAGGAGTAGCCAATACTCCAGAAGATAGGCTCAAGATCCAGAAGGATCTCGACAGACTTGAACACTGGGCCCTATTCCACAAAATGAAATTCAGTGGTGAGAAAAGTAAGGTTTTACTGTTAGAAAAACCAGATGTACAAGTATCGAATATGTTGTACTTAAGCTCAACAGCAGTAACTGTAAGAGCGATCTAGGAGTCCTACTGGACAACCACTTAAATATGAGCCAGCAGTGTGCTGTAGCTGCTAATTGGTAGCATTAACAGAGGGACAAAATCAAGATCATGTGAAGTTTTAGAACTGCTTTATAATGCTTTGGTAAAACCACAATTGGAATATTGCATCCAGTTTCGTTCACTACAATGAGAAGAGCAACAAGATGATCAGGGAGGCTAAAACATATGAAGAACAGTTGCAGGAATTGGATATGTGAAGTCTAGTGAACAGAAGTACTAGGGGTGAAATGATCAAAAATATTATTTCAACTACTTCTGGTAACTTCTTTGCCTCTAGAAATGTGACTTCAAGGAACTGATGTCTTATTTATAAGATCAGAGCTAAAAGCAAAAATTCTGACAAACTGTACACAAGTACTGTATGCTGACATTAACAGAAAGAAAAAAGAGGGTGAGAATGTTATTTGCTTTATTACCAGCCACCAATGTGCTGGTGCACATTGTGCAACATTGTAGAAAGTTTGGAATTATTGATGGATTAAGCAGGTAAAGAATTAATCATACTTTAATTTTAATCACATTTTAGGCATGAAAACCAGTTGGGTGACTTTGGGCCAATCCCTTTCTCTCAGCCCAACCTACTTTACAGGATTGCAGTGGGGAAAGTAGGAGGATGAATTAGGTGCATTGGATGCCTTGAATTGTTTATATATAAAAATAAGGTGAGATAAAAATAAATACATTTTATCCCTTGGTTTTAATTCTTTCAAGTGTTGTTTCCTTAAACTACTAGAATAATATGAACACCTTAATAAAGCATACTTTTATATTGTGGTGAGATCTTTAACCTCAGGGACAGCTATTTCTGGGAAATATTAAAACCTTATAAACAGCATGATACTAACAAGAAACTCTGTTACCTCATCAATGTTCCAACAAAATAAGTGGTTCTGCCTTACCAGAATCTGATGGGGCTGGACTTCCAATGCTGAGCCTTTCACGTTCCTTCTCATAGTCATTCCTGCACAGCAGCTGGCCATCCTTAAGGACAAATTCATCTCCCTTCTGAAGCTGTTTCTCACAGACACAACAGCAGAAGCAGCCTACATGGTATACACTTTTCTGAGCTCGCATAACAAACTCACTGGGTGTAATTGCTTCCAGACAGTTATTGCACTTCACTGCAAAAATCCTGTGACAAAGAAAATCAAAAGTAGATAGGTCAGAATTGTGCCTTGATTATGTTGATTGCTTAGGCAATCAGTTAGGAGCCTGGTCTTGATGACTTCTACTACAATTGTATACTTTACAGAGGTAAGCCCTCCTTAAGAGCTGTGGTGGCACAGTGATTAGAATGCAGTATTGCAAGTTACTTCTGCTGACTGGCAGCTACAAGCAGTTGGGCAGTTCGAGTCTCACCAGCTCAAGATTGACTCAGCCCTCCATCCTTCTGAGGTCGGTAAAATGAGGACCCAGATTGTTGGGGGCAATATGCTGACACTGTAAACTGCTTAGAGAGTGCTGTAAAGCACTAGGAAGCGGTATATAAGTCTAAGTGTTGTTGTGTTAAATTTATCTTTACCGACAAAGAAATAAAGGGAGATTAGTATAGCTCTATTTCAAACTATTTAGCAGGAAGTGGAAGCAGTATGCTCCATCCCATATTTGGGTAGATCAGGTTGTCCTGATAAAAAACATCTAAGTGCTATTGCTATTGTATTGGTAATGAAATACAGAAATTGTTTTAATTTCCATTTTGTTGTTTTGGAAACTATAGTCATCTCTACTAAATACATGCTCTGGCAACCTCTTTTTTCTTCCATACTCTTCTGATTCATGGCATTGCCTTCATCTCATCCCCAACTCATACCTGGGACAGCCTAAAGTTCTCCTTTACAGTATTAGTCACTTTTTTTCCTTTTAAGTAGCTACAAGCCATGGCAATTTTGATGTTCATCACCAACTTTTGATTAGGGTCAGAATCAAATGCTTAAGGAGTTGTGATCCTCAGAGCACCTATTGGCCATCCTAGGCTGGGGTGGGCATTCTCCTCTCTTTCAGCCCCAAGGCACTTTTTTCCAGACCATTTTTGCTTTGATCAATGGGAAGGTCTTTCAATGGAAAAGGCCAATTTGAAAGAAACAAGCCAATCTCTGGCACAAGTATTTCACACAATTATCAGCGGATGAACCCATGAATTACCCATGAAGAATACTTGTACCAAAGCAGAGCAAATTTTTACAGATGTATGTATATACTTACTGGTCTACCATCTGACAAAATGTACCTCTTCCCCCAGCCTTGTATTAAAGGTTGGTGGATGTTTTCCTATCAGCTGGTGACATTCAATGAGAAGGGAAGGGAAACAAAATTGAGGGAATCCACCAAAACAAATTTTAGACAACCTTAGTAAATACATTTCCATGACATCTTTATTGTTGGGGGAAGGGTATCAAAACCTCATTTGTTTTATGATTTTTGAACAATATTAGAATGCAACACCTGCCTACACATGAAGCAAATACAAGTAGTCCTCCACTTACAGCAGTCCATTTAGTTCAACAGTTCAAAGTTACAATGGCACTGAAAAAAGTGACTTATGACCATTTTTCACATTTATGACCTTTGTAGCATCCCCATGATCATGTGATCAAAATTCAGATGCTTGGCAACTGGTTCATACTTATGACTGTTGCAGTGTCCCAAGGTCAGGTGATCCCATTTGCAAGCTTTTGATAAGCAAAATCAATGGGGTAGCCAGATTCACTTAACCGTGTTACTAACTTAACAACTGCAGTGATTCACTTAACAACTGTGGCAAGAAAGGTCGTAAAATTGGTCGTAAAACTTACTTAACAGATGACTCATTTAACAACAGAAATTTTGGGCTCAATTGTGGTTGTAAATCGAGGATTACCTGTATTCTTACACCTCCCAAATTGATTTTAAAAGTTTGACTCAATACATTAGTAATAATTATGTTGCACCAAAAAGTTGGAACATGCCTATGTATGAGTTGAGATTGTTTTATTCTTTCATTTCTATTATTTATTATTATAAAAACTGGTCTTTGAGAAATGTACTATAAGTGGTTATTTTAGAATAAAAAAATAAATGAAAAAATAGCAGCCTCACGGCAGTGAACTAAGCTACTTCCCAAAGACAGCCAAGAAGAAAGAAAAGAAAAATCTTGCAGTTCTAGCCACAGGTGTCAGAGGAGGGGAGGTAAAATCCAGCATTAGATACCACAATGAGCTGATGTACAACAGAGTATTAATTAGAAAGAACTTGATCTACGGATCGGTGGCAGATTCCTCTGCTGACTTTTTGGATCACCATTTAACTCTGACAACTGTGTGGCTTCTGTAAAACTAACATCACACTGGATATTGTGCTATGCCAGGTATTTGACTCTGATTCCGCCTGGAAGATGCCAAACACAAACCCTATCATATGGCAAAGCTAATTGCAAACACTTGCTGTTCTTACCAAGTGCCCTATTTTTCAAAAGTCTATGAAGATCCAGCAAGAAAAACAGTGAAACCTTCAACACAACATGCATGCTTTTTTTATGAATTCACTTTTACTCCAGAGATTTCACCCATATGGATGAATTCTTGTCCACACTGATTTCAGAATTAAATGAAAAGAACACAAGAAGTCAGCAAGAATATTTGATCAAACAGAAATAACTGGCTATGACCAACTCTAACAGCTCTCTTGAGCTGTTACATTTGATCAGGTGTATGGGAGAGTTACTTTGATTTTTAAAGGACTTTCCTTTCTACTGAGCATTAATTTTGAATTGTCTGTTACCAAGATTGTCACGTCAATCACATTTTGGCAATAACCCTCTCTAGTACTAGGCAGTGATACTATAATAAATATGGGTGTAGGAAACTAAAAAGTGCTCCTCTCACAAGGACATGGTAGTAGAAGAAGATGGAGCTATTCTTTTGGTTTCAAAAATTGGATTGTCAACCTATTTTACTAGAAACATTTCAAAATAAACTCATCCATGTAGCTGGGCAGTTAATTGCAGATCTATTGAGCAAGTGAAATTATTTAAACACCTGGGTATTCACTTTCAATCTTCTACATGCTAAGGTCATCAAATAAGAGGTATGAAAGCTCAAAAAGTATCTCTGGTATAGATCTAAAAGTATCTAACAAATACACAAGTTGGTGGGGGAACCACTTTGTTCCTGCAGCAATTAAATTATTCAAGACCAAACTCCTTAGCATGATCTCAGATGTATATTTACAAAAAAAAATTCAGTCCTTCAACAAATTCAAACAAGTTCTTTAAAATCAATAGCACATATTCCTTATTCTACTTCTAATGCCATTACCAGATTAGATTTATTTGACATCTCATTTGAGCCCAGGCCAGATAATATTGGTTAAGATTCTGGACAAAACAAATCATTTGCGGGACCACTGTTGGATGCTTGCTTATCCTACGGTTGGGTAGATAATATATAGAAAACTATGTTCTGTAACTTTAACTGCTACAAGATGACTAATTGGCTGTGCTAAGCAGACATAAAAGAAGGCAGGAAGTTCATTCACTTCTGCTCGTGCTGTTAGAAGGTTGAACTGCTGAAAGGAACTGTGTCTGTGTTACTGAAGAGAACTGGAATTGTAAGCAAACTATGTTTTTGTGTTGAGCTGTGATTATTTGAAGAAGTGTTATCTTTGTTTTGAGAAGCCAAGTTTGTTTTTTTTACTACAAGTAAAGACTGTTTATTTTTCTTTAAACGTTCAGAGTCTGTGAGTATCTGTGTGTTTTGCTAAGCAACGTATCTATTTGCTGTCTGGTCCGTTGCACCACTTTGCAGAGGGCAGTTTTACCCTCAACACTGGTTATGGGCCCAGTACCAGAGTGTGTATACCAGTTACAGCAATAAGAGAGTTGCGACACACATTATTGCTCCAGACGTTCTGATACGTATTTAATATCCTGGTGAGGATGGCACAAGGTCAAGCTCCCAACTTATCGCTGGTTACCCGGCTGGATGGCACCAACTACAAATCCTGGTCCACCAAGTGCAGTCTCCTGTTGCACAAAGGAGGGCTATGAGATGTAGTGCAGAATCCACCAGATGTGACCTCCTAGAATGCTGACGATGCCAAGGATGCCAGGAAGATAGCCAAGTTCCAGAGGAAGAATGAGAGTGCATTGTGTATTATTGTAGACAGATAGGTATGTCTACAATGGGAGCAGAGTTTTCTTGTTTATCTTTGTTATGTACGGATTTGATCAGTATTAAGCAGCTGATGCTAGATTTGGGAATAGATATACAAGATCCTATAATAGTATACGAAGATAATCAGGCAGCGATAAAAATGGCGACAAATATAGCTGTAAAGACTAGAACAAAACATACAGATCTTCGGTATCTCAATGTAAGAGAATGTATACTGAACAAGATGATAGAACTTGTATATTGTGCATCAGAAGACAATGTGGCTGATCATTTCACAAAAGCACAGGGAAGTTGGAAACATATAGATACATGTGAACGGTATGGTTTAAGATTGTAAATATATTAGTCTACCCAAGGGGAGAATGTTGGATGCTTATCCTACGGTTGGGTAGATAATATATAGAAAACTATGTTCTGTAACTTTAACTGCTACAAGATGACTAATTGGCTGTGCTAAGCAGACATAAAAGAAGGCAGGAAGTTCATTCACTTCTGCTCCTGCTATTAGAAGGTTGAACTGCTGAAAGGAACTGTGTCTGTGTTACTGAACTTTTTTTTTTTACTTTTTTTAAGCATTTTTTTTACTACCTGTTCGGGCAATAGGTAGTAAAAAAATGCTTTAGAAAAGTTTTTTAAAAGGTTCTGACAATCAGCTGTGACAATTAGCTGTGCCATGAGATCCTCAGAACTTTTTTTTAACTTTTTAAAGCATTTTTTACTATTCCAGGAGGCTTCCCTGAGGCCTGCTAGGGGTGGGGCGGGTGCTGGGAAAGGAAGGAAGGAAGGAAGGAAGGAAGGAAGGAAGGAAGGAAGGAAGGAAGGGGGATGGGAGAAAGAAAGGGAGGGAGGGAGAGAGGGAAAAAGGAGAGGAAGGCAGGACCACAAACCTGGCACTAGATGCAACTTCAGAGGATACCTTGAAAGAGCACAGCAATCCAGTGCTGGAAGGGACCCAGAGGTCATCTAGTCCAACTCCCTGCTC